TTACTTCTTGTGCTGTCAGTTCAAGGTATCCAGGTGGTTGATTATCAGACTTTTCTACCCGTTTTTCCCTAGAAATTGCCTTTTGGGGGCTGGAGGTTTGAGTTGGTGACTTGCTTAAATGTCTTCTTATTTTTGTTTTTGGTACTGTCAGTTATAAGTCAATGAGTCTCAGTAAGCCATCCACAGACCCATGAGACCCAAACAGACCTCTGCCTGCAAGTCCCAAACTGAGCTCCCTGTCCTCCTGCAGGGCTGAACTCCACAAGGTTCCATTACAGGTTCCAGCTGTCCCTCCCCCCAAAACAGTCCAGGTTCAAATGGAAGGTGACGATCCCTCCAACTTACCAAGTACGGTGGTCACTTTACAATGGCCTTTATGTCCCCCTGTGCCTCTGTAGTGTGGAACTAGGTAGCTGCACAACCAAGAGGCCAGTGCCCACTTGGCCAAGCCAGCGGGGCGGGGGGTGGGGGGGGACGGGACAGGTGGGCGGGGGTGTCCTCATGGTCTCCTGGATGCAAGTGCTAAATCTGATCTTTTTTTTTTTTTTTGGACTGGGGATCGAACTTGGGACCTTACGCTTATGAAGCAGGTGGTGGAACCACTGAGCTAAATCCCCGGCCCAATAAAGGGTTGGGTTTGTTTCTCTGTTTAACTTTTTTTGGTACCAGGGATCAAACTCAGGTCCTTGCGCTTGCAAGACAGGCGGCGGAAACACTGAGCTAAATCCCCAGCCCCTAAATCTGATCTTTTTAAGATGAGGTCCAACTCCTGGGCCTAGGCGACCCTCTTGCACCATTTTCCTAAGTAGCTGAGATCACAGACACAAGCCATGACACTTGGCTAACCCTGAATCACAAGTTACAGTTTTCTCACAAGTTTAGCTAAAAATTATGGGGGGGAAAAAAACTATGTTGGAAGAAGGGAGAGAAAGAGCAAGATGATGCAAGAGTTAATCCTCACCTGCCACACTAGGGAACCGACATTATTAGTGTTCAGTAATATTTGTGTCTCCCTGCTTCTGGGCACATAGAGGACTGCAATTCTCAGCCTGTGCAGGTAGGCAGGGCAGTATGACTACGTCAGGCCCTTTGGCTTTAGGGGAGGTAATATATTGCTGCTAGACTTACGCTTAGACAATCCTCCCTCTATGGTGATCAAGAAGGCCTTGGGTTAAGAAGACAGAGCTACACAAGTGTAGCAGCCTGGAATATGAGATCCTAGCAATGGTGAATGGATTCTGCAAGAGTGAGAAATAAACCTTTAATGTGCTGAGCCTCTGAGACTTCAGAATTATTTACTGCTGCTGCTGCTACTACTGCTGCTGCTGCATAGCCTTAGCTAACCACATACAAACTTCAACAAATACTACCTGAAATTGGTAAGTCAAGAAATAACCATTTAAACATATTCTTTAGAATTATGGAAATAATTACCCCAGATGACTAGTTAAAAACATTAGCCGCAGTTGCCTCTGGGAGCTGGGCAGAGGAGAGAGGAAAAGTGGGCAGAGGGGTGACTGTTTTTATTAGTATTTGATGGCTTTTTACATTCTGGATTACACTGGCAGAAAAGAAATTTTCTAGGGGGCGGGAATTTAGCTCAGTGGTTCTGCTGCCTGCCTCGAAAGCTCAAGGACTCAAGTTTGATCCCCGGTACCAAAAAAAAAGAAAAGAAAAGAAAAGAAATTTTCTAAAAATCTGCTTTCATATGTAGCTTGGAAGGGTCCCCACCAAACCGTCACAGTGGCTGTCTCTGTCTCTTGGGAGGGAGGGCATGCTGGATAGAACGTCTGAGGAACTACAGGTTGGGCTATAGTAAGGTGCTGTAGGGAAGAAGGCTACCCAGATGGTGTGCTGGTCTGATGGCAGTGGGGAGCCACGGAAGGTCGTAAACCTAATGTCCTGAGCAGATCAGCCTTTCAGAGTGAACTCCTGACTCCCACTGCTAACGAACCTGGGAGAGAGGCTGCTGCCCTGGTCCTGGTGAGAGCCGAAGAACCCTGAAATAAGACCTCCCTATGACAGATGTCCACAGGAGCCTGCTATTTGCACTAGTAGTGGCAGGGAACAAAATGGACTGACTCACCTACCTTCAGAGAGCTTCTTTAGGGGAGAGAGCTCAATGGACATAAAAGAAGATAAATGTTTCAGTGATAGTGTAAGGCAGTGCATTGTGCTATAAAGAGAAATGAAGCAGCTAGGCATGGTGGCACAGCTGCTTGGGAGACTAAGGCAGGAGGATCTGAAGTTCAAGGCCAGCCTGGGTCACTTAGCAAGACCCTGTCTCAAAATTTAAGAAAAGAAAAAGATTTGATATAGCTTAGTGGTAGAGTGCTTGCCTAGCATGTGTGCATGTGTGAGGCTTTGGGTTCCATCTCTAGTACCACCACCACCACCACCAAAAAAAGTGAAGCAGCAGGAGCCAGAAAGCCCTGGTGGGGAGAGGCAGACTGTAGCTAGGGTGGCACGGGAGGGCCTCTTCGAGGAGGGAACATTTGAAGAGTCCTGAAGGAAGTGAAGTAGAGCTGGTACCAGGTAGGGGAACAGTAAGTCTGGAGGCCCTGAGCTGGGGTGGGCTAGACACATCTGAGGAATGGCAGAGAGGCCACTGGGGTGGATGGTGGGGGACATCAGTCGAGGGGCAGGTGTGGAGAGCTAGGGACCCAGAGGTGGCTGGGGCCAGTTTGTTGGAACAGAGGGACTGTGGGGCGGTACTGTGGCAGGACTGTCTTGGAGCTAGAGAAGGGGGTTGAAGGCGGCCAGCAGGACAGGGTGTGGTAGTGGGGACGAGAGAAAGGGAGGCCGGAGAGGAGAGGGGTCTGGGGCTCTGCTTGGCAGAGTCTGCACTGAGCCACTGGGCCCCATGTGGCCCAGCCACGGAAGCTTCAGCTCCTACTTCCCCGCACCCCAGACCCCTCTGGGAATGGAAGGATCGTTCACAAATCAAAATAGCAGGCAGAGAACAACCTCGAATTGTTCTGCATAAGAGCAGAGAAATTAGAGGAGTCAGCTGTGGGCTCAAAACCGCCTCCTACACAGCTGGGATCTGCACGCCCAAGACAGACTTCCCGACACTCTTGATTCTGCTGTCTCTGAGCGAAACTTTTTGCTTCTCTGGCCCCAGAGCAAATAGCAGCTATTTTGGGAGGGAGTGGGACAGATGCAGGCAATGGAGGAAAATGAGTGAATCCATTTTTTAAACAAACAAAAAGCCCCATCACTTCTTGAAGAAACAGCTTTAGCAGATGTGAGATTGTTCAGTTATTCAAAAATATTAAGTACTGTACTGTATCCTCATCCTGTGTGACACCAGAGGGACTCTAAGGGAGTAAAGAGAGGCACCCAGTGTGACATTACCCTTGGGCTAGAGTGGAGAGAATACACGGGGAGTTGGGAGGCCCAAGTTCTCGCCTTGGCTTTGCATCTTTGCTGTGTGACCTTGGGTAGGTTTTGCTGCCTCTCTGGGCTTCAGTTTCCCTCTCTCCCTCTAGTATGAGCTTTAGGCTGCATAGTGATTCTCCAACCTCTAGAGTTCATAAGGATTACTTGGGGTGGAGGCATGCTTGTTAAAGATGAAGATTTCTGGGCCTGGGGCTTAGTTCAGTGGTTCCAGTGCCTGCCTGGCAAGCACAAAGTCCTGAGTTCGATTCCCCATACCAAAAAAAAAATTACAGAAAGAAAAAAGATGGGGATTCCTGGGCCCAGTTCCAGAGATTAATAATTTACAGTTTATCAGATCTGGGCTCCAGGAGTCTGCGTTTCTCACCAGCTCTGCTGGTAATTGTGAAGGGAGCCTTCATACCCCACCTCAATTAATCGCTTCCCCTCAGTCTTCCAAGGCTCTGCCTGTTCTGGAATGGGAGGAGTCACTCACGAGGTGCAGCCTTTCTCCGGATCTCTCAGATCAGTCCGGGGCAGAAAGAAGTCCTTAGCCCTGCCTCGGTGTACGTGTGTTTCTGTGACAAGTGCTACCTGGTACTCAGCCCAGGCCCTGCTACAAAAACGACCATGACTGGCCCCAAACAAGGGCCAGCTGTGGCATAGACAGCTGTGTGCAGTATAGAGCAGGAGGAACACTGTGAGGGTGTGGTCGTACACATCTGGCTGATATCTGGGCCCCTGCCCCGGGTTTTATATGTGACACTGTCAGCTGCTCACCTTTCCCATGCCCTGGGGTGGGAAGAGGCATCCTGAGGGTGGAGCCCAGCTTTGTGGGGATAAGATCTGGGTGGGCAAAAGAAGGCCCAGGAGCCCTGGTCTGCCCCAGAGGACACCTCAGGGGTCCGAGGCCCCAGCCAGTCTGCCAGGCAGCAACCCTTCTTCAGAGTTGGCCAGTCTTATTCCCAGAAGGTCAGTGGTAGAAGTTGGAGAATCTGGTTGCTCTGGCCTAGCCCCAGCTTCATTCTGCACAGATGAAGAGTAACAGTTATGGTGGCCTGCAGGATTTGGTTTTTCTTTTGCAGTGCTGGGGTCAAACCCAAGGCAGCATCCATGCTAGGCAAGTGCTCTATCACTGAGCTACACCCCTTGTTCTGCATGTTCACCAACCACTGGGCTCAGGGCTAAGTTCTGTATTAGCTTATTAAATTTTCATAGCCATCCCAGGAGGCTGATACAAGTATTAGCCCTCTTTCTATAGTTAAAGTTGCTGAGGCTCAGAGACTTTGAGCTACTAGTCCAGAGTCACGCAGCCAATATATAGTAGAGGCAGGATTAGAACCCCAACTCGTTTTCCTCTGGAGTCAGTTTTTTCTCATACCAAATTCCTTAGTACCTCTCAGAAGATACAGTTTTCCCTAAAATACCTTCTGCCAGAGTCACCCACAACCAGAGAAATCCTTCTGCATCTGTTGTAGAGGACAGGAGTGAGGCTGAATCAGATGGTTCAGGACCTGCCCTTGACCTTTCGTGTGACCTTGGGCAAGTCACTGCACCCCCCTGTGTTTAATGGAAACTGAAATCTGTGAAACTGGGTAATTACCCATGCACTTCCTTCTAAGGTACACTAAGCTGAAGACAGCAACCAACATCTACATCTTCAACCTGGCCTTGGCCGACGCGCTGGCCACCAGCACGCTGCCCTTCCAGAGTGCCAAGTACCTGATGGAGACATGGCCCTTCGGGGAGCTGCTCTGCAAGGCTGTGCTCTCCATCGACTACTACAACATGTTCACCAGCATCTTCACGCTCACCATGATGAGTGTCGACCGATACATCGCCGTCTGCCACCCTGTCAAGGCCCTGGACTTCCGCACACCTGCCAAGGCCAAGCTGATTAACATCTGCATCTGGGTCCTGGCCTCAGGTGTTGGTGTCCCCATCATGGTCATGGCTGTGACCCGCCCCCGGGGTGAGTGATGAGGGGGTGGTGCACAGGTCTCAGATCACATGGGCCTCTCTGGGTTTGCAGGGCACTTCCCAGGGTGAGTGGAGGCAGCTGCTTACTGGTGGAGGTGTGGGCTGTGGACAGCCGTCTTGGGAGTGTGGAATGTCAGCCAGCAGGGTGGGCAGTGGGGAATGTGGGTGGGAAACCACGTGAAGATGAATGAGAGAGTGGTCAGTGGGCAGATGGGTTGCTGGCCAAAGGAAATAAACATATGATGAGACTATGAGTGGCTGGCCTGGGTCCCTGCAGGTGATTGGCCAGGACTGACCTATAGGGAGATGGACAGGAGACAGCGGGGTAAGAGTGTCACTGACGAGTGAGCCGTGGGGGCCTCAGCATCTCCAGTCCCACCCCAAACTTCCTTTTACCCGACTTTGAAAACCACTGGCCAATCTGGCCGATGACTGAAGCAAAGCCTAGAGAATGAAAGGTATGTTTCCTTGGAATAAAGCTATCATCATTTTACTGACTACCTGTATTTGTTACTCTAGCAGCTGAAACAATCTCCAAAGCTCAGGGGCTTAACATGGTGGAAAGTTTATTTGTCATGCATATCGAAAACCATTTTAAGAGTAGCACAGTCACTTAGGGACCCAGGCTCTGACTAAGGGTTCCTGAAACTTCCACTGCTGGTATCTGGCTGCATGAACATAGAGAGGAGGTGGGAGGTTGCACAACTGTTTCTGCTTCTGCTTCTTTTTCCTCTTCCTCCTCTTCCTCTTCTTCTTCCTCTTCTTCTTTTTTTTTTTTGTAGTGCTGGGGATCAAACCTAGGACCTTGCTCATGCTAAGCAGGATGGTCCACCACTGAGCTAAAGCCCAAGCTTCCTCTCAGCCACTTTTAAATATTATGGTCTGTCCCTTCCGAGTGATAACTGGTCACATGGCCCCATCTTGATGTAAAGAAGTGGGAAAGGTAGTCTAGAAGAGCACCAAAGACATTAGGAACTAATTAACTTCTATAAAACACTTCAGAAAAGGCCTAGCTCATTGCCAGGGCCCAATAAAGGCAGCTGCTAAATGATTAAGCCTGTGGGATAGACAAAGGCAAGGACTCCTACCTCTGTTTGACTGAGAAAGCTGAGAATCAGAGAGGCCATGTGGTTTCCCGAAGTCACATGGCTGGGCATTGGGCAGAACCTGGGTTACAACCCAAGGTTCCTGTCCTCAGATCTGTTGTTCTTTTTGGCCCTTTCAGGGAGAGGTTTTCAGAGGCCTGATACTGTGGGTAGGAGAGGGAAACAGGCCTGATGGGAGGCTTCTTGGTCATATTTGACCCTCACAAGGGCAGAGTCCCTGGTGCCCTTATACAGGGCCTGTTCCTCACTGTCAGCCTTCAGTTTCCATGCCAAACTGCAGCCTGCTGAGGCTAGACCAGGTGGGTTCCTCTCTCTCTCTCTCTCTCTCTCTCTCTC